GGGGGGGGGGGTCCTCCCAAGTCCCTGTAAGAGGTGAGGTGGCCTGCCCAGGGTGGGGCGACTCAGGTTTGACCTGGAGCCCACACTGGTTCTGCTGCTGCCTGGCCGGTAAGGACCAGGCCTGGGCCTTGGGCTTCAGCTGACAGGAGGCCCAGCTCAGGCTCTCGAAGGGTGCAGGCCCACAGCCTGCCTGGGCCAGCGCCTGGCTCTGCCTGTTGGCCTCAGTCAGCATGGGGCTCAGGACATCAGCTGACCTGCCCCTGGGATGCCAGGACTCCTGCCAGCCTCAGTCCACCTGGGGCAGCCTCACAAACACCTAATCAGCAGGTGGGGGTATTAGAGGCAGAAAGGGCCTGTCCCCAGCCCAGCAGACAGCAGCCCCTCACTGGCCCAGGCCTGCCCCGGTTTGGCGGTGTCACCCGGCTTCCCATAGGGACACCCACAGCCTCTCCAGGCACTGTCTGGAGTAAGTGAGGTGGGCAGAGGCCTCACGCAGCCAGGCGGGACTCCTGCAGGAACGATGTCTCCGGCGTCCTGCGCCGAGCTCTGCGGCGCAGCCTCCTGGGACTGTGGCTGGTCGGGCCTGCGGCCGTTTGTTGCCTGTTTTGTTTCTGGTTGTTGAGTACGTGAATGTGAGTTGGCAACACCTTCATACTGAGGGCTCGGCAGCGGTTCAGCAGCCGTGAGATTCCTGCCTCTCTGACCTCCCCGCCTCCTCCTCCTGGCTTCGTGTTCAGACATGACCCCAGCTATGAAGAGCTCGGGGAGGTGAGCAACAGCTGACGGCCACCGGAGCAGCTGACGGTCATCAGAGCAGCCAGCTCGGGGGCTGTCACGTCACCTGCTCCGCTGGAATCTGACGTCCGATGGGATCGTGCCGTGTAGGGTCCAGCGGCTTCGCAGCTGAGTGGCGCTGGGCCAGCTCCCCGCACAGCACTTCCGAGGCTCATCAGAGCGGAGTCAGATGGGGGCTCCGCACATTCTACTTTCTAGAGTCCCTAAGACGGGGCCCACGGGTGTCCGACAGACGCTGTACTCAGCCCTTAGGTGCACCTGAGGTTCCTGGGACTTTCCATTGATGCTCAGACTGTTTCTGTCCATTCCACGCAGCTGTGGGTTTGTTCATCTCTAGCCGCGTCCCACATACTTCCTCCTGGCCATGAAACACACATGGCCACAGACACGCCAGGATAAAGGGGCAAGGGGAGGCGACATTTGCCGTTTTGTCTGCTGGCTGTCTTGAGATGCTTTCCCCGGCCTTCATAGCCTTCTCTCCTTGTTTGGGCTGTTACTATCCACTAGGCACCTGAAGGTGCTGGCAGTTTTCACGTTGGTGTAACAGGAAAGCCCACGTCTCCCAGATTTACCACGTCCTCTGGGCTGCGCTCTCCAGGAGCTGCTGCACGCAGCCAAGGTCTTGAATCTGACACTTACCTCCCCAGCGGACTAGCCACAGAAGAGCAGACCCAGGCCGCTCACACAGCCCAGAGGGCTCCCCTGGGGTGCACGGGGCAACGCTCAGCCAACCGAGCCATACCGGCGGGGCCAGAG